CTCTCTCTTTCTCTCTCTCTCGTTACTTTTTTCCTTTCCTTTTTCTTTTTCCTTCGGTCGCATCCACGGTAGCGATTCATCGCAGGGCGAGGTCTGTAATCAACATATATAGACCGGTGGCTTTCCCGCTTGAGATCCTGGTTTGTGCGCGCGCGTCCTGAATCTTCCTCTTCCTAGATCGAGGTCATCGGGCCTTTTTTAATGTATTTTACGATGCGTGACGAACGAAGATGCTTAGATGTATTCGATGAGAATACAAGCAGATATAATCGGAACGATGAAAATGTCATAATATACGTAACTGGCATGTATACGTTTTAAATGACATAAAGCGCATTACATGCAGGAATAATAATAATAGTAAGGAGCTTAGTTTTGGAAAGAAATCATTTATCGGAAGCCATTTCTGATTTACGAAGGAATGTAGCGTGACTTTGGAGATCAAGAATTTATTTCCATATTGATTATCTAATAAACATAATGTAGATCGCGCTGCACGATATCGTGATTACAATTTACGATGATACATGAGTGAAGTAGCTATTTCTCGGCCATCTACCGCGCACGCACAAACTTTAATATGTTTTAAATGACTCTAGGCAATTCATTATTCATAGGGTTAGAATGTGAGATTATTATAAATCCCATGACAGTGTAGTTAGAGTTAGTATAGTTATTTGATACCGGATAATATCATAATTGTTATCACATACACGCCTCGAAGCGCAAATAGCTGCTTTATGCTGTATACGTTATACTGCACGCGTAAAAAGATAGCAGAATATAAAAATATGCATGAAAATATGCATAAATTCGTATAACCGTAATTAATAAATTCTTATATTTTATTCTTAACTCGCCGCACCGCTCGATTTGATATCAATCGGTTGTAAAAATCGATAAAAATTGTCAAGTTTGCCCTGCGATGCCGAGAAGCTCGGCGTATAGCATCAGAGACGCGCGAAATCTAGCCGTTACGTTATATCGCACAAAAGCTCACGAGCGTCCGGCTGGTTTTTGCAGCCCCCTCGGGGGAAATACAAACGTATTTCTTTTGCAATCGGCGAGGAATCAGGTATGGAAGACGGACTGCATTTCCGGGCATCGGCTCGGTTAGCATTCCAGCGTGCATAGCTCCCGGAACAGTCATAACGGAAAAATCCCTCTGGACTCACGTGTATTCCGCTAATGGTCGTCAAGATCGACGATCCAAGGTCCCGGGGATCGTGGCGCCTCTTCTCGCGTCTCGGCGCCCCGAACGCGTTCCATCGCTCGAGACCGCTTCTCCGCTAGTCTCATCCTCATCGCGCTGCGATATCTGATGCGGCGAACACTCGACGGAAAGCATTACGAGCATCGTGATGCTTACAATGTCTTCCTCTCCCGCCCGCCCTTCTCCTCCTCCTCCTCCTCCTCCTCCTCCTCCCCTTCGCAATCGCTCTCGCGATGACCTCTTCTTGTATTCAACTATACCCTCTCAACCGTTGGCGCTCAGTACGACCTCGACTTTAATAACCGTGGAAGACGGATCTGTAGCGTTGCTTCCACTTTACGCTTTACGGATATCATTTCGTCAATTGATGCCGTTAAAGTAGCTTTTGAGTTAAAGTGGAGGTCTTGAAACACGTAAATACGCATTTTTAAATTCTTGAATTTTCGATATATAATTAATTAAATTCTTCCGTCGAACGAGAGAAAGAAAACGAGAGATAAATTGGTCTTTAGTTACCGATTAATTCCCGATGGAAACTCGGTCGAATTAACTCTCCGTTATTACGAGTCGATGATCTGCTATTAGATCCGCCGATATTTTTCGTTACGCAACGGTTCGACTAGACGGGAATAATCGCTTTAACGAGTCGCGGCACCTCGTTACGCTCTACAGTACCTATCAATTTTCTACACAATGAACGAGCCCCCCCCCCCCTCCTGTACTTTTCTCGATGGCTCTGTAAGTTTGAAAATGCCTTTAATTCATCTCGACACCAAACAGAATCGCATTATTACTGCGCAATTATTTGACGATGGGCGAATATTTTGTTTTGAAATGATTACCTTGTAAATCGCGTGACGAGTGTACTCGGGTATATTTTCAATCCTTGGCCACACATTAATTGATACTAAAGTATACATCTAATTGAGAATTGACGAAGGGAGATGTCAGATAAACGTTACATTCTCGGTCGCAAAAGTTTTCGTTGCGGTCGCCCTCGGCCTCTCGAAGAGCGGCATCTCTTTGCGCATCCCACTATGTATTCTACTATGTTGTAGAACATACCTTTGCTTGTACATCGCTGGACACACATGGCGAGCGGGAAAACGCAGCGCACGCGCTTTCGTCGCGTGCGTATTAAGAACGCGCATTGTACAATTGAATGTATTAATTATTTTTGATTAGTTGAAAGCTATCTGACCGCTGCTGCTTGAAGCCGCACAAGTCTTTTCCTTCTCGTGCAGTGAGTATGATTTCTTATAAGGAACATAAAAAAAAAACACAGATATAACGTTCGACGATCTCATTTTTATTCTTGTAGGGGAAGGGGAGAGGCGAGCATTTTAAAATACATTATTCTTATTTTCTTCATTAAGAAAGATTCCTAAATAAAAAGATAATAGTTCGATTCTGAAATAATTTCAGAGAAAGAGAGAGATTAGGGTGGTGCTCTATCATAGCCTCGCTCGTATCTAATCACTAGATAACCATGCCCTGCTGACAGTCTAATGTACATTACGGAAATCTGTATAGCTAGTACGGTGGCGAATTGTTTAGAGACCGCGAGGTAGTAGCCGCAAAGAGATACGGTGGAAGGAGCGTGGGCCGTTTTAATGCTATTAAAGCACCGCGCTTGTACGTGTGTCGGCATAGTAGACGCGTAGATGCGCACATATATCGGGTAATCCACGCGTGCATATGTGTGACTAACCGCTCTCGCGCGCGGGTCAATGCCTCGGCTGTTTCCGAGTAGTAGGTACGCACTTACGCTGCGTACCTTTTCCTTCGCGTTATACCCAAGCACGCGTTTCAAGTGTACCCGCATGCACGCACGTACACAAACGTACGCACGTGTTGCGTGAGGCTTCCGCGAGGGAAGTCCACGCGCGACATCCCATCTGTAGAGTGATATATAATTTTTAAAAAGTCCTACAGTTTCTTCATTCTCCAGTTTCACAATTTTAATATAATTGTTGAATTTTTAGCTTAAGGATTCTAAAATTTATTAATACAAAATTAATAAAAAATCCTAACGATTAAATTTACGAAATGTTAAAGATATTAATATGGAATGCTAACTTACATATAATAATTTTTTTGTTTAAATCAAAATCTATTTTTCATTATACATCATAATAAATTTTCGTATACGACAATTTTATGTTACACGCGACGAAACACCTGACTGGAAAGTCAAGCGTGATAAGATTGATAGCGATGTTTAATATACCGCTTGTAATGTAGCGCTAATGTTACGAATAGTAACCTTTAAATCGAATTACGGGAATCGGTGATTACGGTTACGGCGGTGATTTGTAAGGTCACGACGTGACTATCAACATCATAGTACATCTCCGATCCACTCGGCTTGCCATCGAGGCATCGATGCACGATCATACATTGCAGTTGATCGTGACCGCGACACGATCGTAACTCCCATTATTATCATAAGGCAACCTACAAAACTAAGCATCCGTGGTCCCTGTCCTCGTAATACGTACGTGGAATCATTGCACTACGCAGCATCGGACCGTGAAATGCCAGAGAGTGCTCGCAAGAAGAGTTTCGCCTTTATCTCGACGGATGAGATTATATCTGCATACCGGACAGGTGTGCAGGTGTGAAACGCAATTACTGGCGCGATAACCAGAATCTTTCGCGCTAATACAATTGCGATTATTACGACGGGTAATGCAGCATTCGCGCGGAATCATCGTGACGTTGCGATATAAATTACACATTCGAACAAAGCGTCAAAAGTTAATAATGGAAGATCCCCTTATTAAAGCCCTCCTTACTGAATTAATTTAACGATAGTGAATTTTCTGCGGTTCGATAAAGTGTACATTCGTATGTTCTCAAAGCTCGGAAGTTTATCGCGAAATTCATCAATCAAGGATATTTTACATATTTTGCGATCGAATCTCGATTACGTATAGCATATGTTTCTCAAGAGAGAGGCTACAAGTGAATATTTCAACAATCGAGCGAAATAGAAAACGTAGAACGGGTGGATAGCGATGAAATTAAAAAAATTTCCATTTTTCTTACAATAACGCATGCGAAGCTGATGGTACGCGCCATCGCCTCCGTTCTGGCGGAACGCACCGCGTGAGTGAGGTACCGTTTGAAAATACCACGAAGCAAATTCCGCGGAGTCGTTCTACAGCACGGACGATCGACAGCACAAGCGCGCATCGCGCGCGCGATGTGCGCGGTTCTCTAATTAGACGTAACATTCTATATCGATTTTATGAAAATTACGAAAAAGCGTACGATAGTAACATTTATCAACAACTTGAAAATTTTTTAAAAACTTGAAAATTTTCCTTCTCATTCGAATTGGCATGCGTTAAGAATATCGTTCAGTATCACTTCCATTTTTTCATAGCGGCCATATTCAATCGCGATATTAGAAACGATATATTATAGGAACTTTTTCCTTGCATTTTACGTCACAAAATAAATTAATTCTTTTTAGATATTGTCGTATAGATATGTATATAAAATGTACCCAATGTTTTTGTCTTTTTGGTGGTTTATAATTATTAAAAATATACTAAAAAATAGTGCTAAACAAATGCTAATGCTAATAATGTTACTAAAATTTTGGCGTAGAAGAAAAATATTTTACTTTTTTTTCTTCGTTTTTTTCATAATCCGCGAGAGCGTTACAAGGAAAAAAAATTAGTTAAATTATATACGTTAATATATATATCTTTCTTTTAAACAAAAAAAAATTATAACTCTCGTTCACTTTCTGAATAATTTGCCTGTGATTTTTCAGCGAGTCGGACATGGCGCCCAATGCGGAGGAGGAACTGCTGGTTGTGAAACCATGGGGACCGCAACCGGAAAAGGTAGTGTAGAGAGACAACGTTAAGTAAATTACGGTGTACCGATGTAACAAACACGCTAAAGCGATTGTGTCGCGTGTTTAGTTCACCGGCGTGTAAACGGCGCGGAAGCTTTATGATATAACTTGAATCGCGCGTTAAACGGCCGCTCCACGCATGCGGCGACCGCGACAGGATGTTTCCGATTAGCATATCTTTCAACTTTGAGTAAATATACACACAGAGGACAGGCTGGACCGGCAAGACGACCCGATCTTCATTTTACACCGTGAGAACTCCATCACCTCGATCACTTAGTTGGCGCATAAGCGCGGCAAGAAAGAGAATATTAATATTAAGAGAATAGAGTTGGCCTTTCAAGCAGCACAAAGCAGCAAGTCACTTCCCGCCTTGACCTTGTCGCTAACGGCATACGCGCGCGCATACTACAGCTTGATTATATATTGCATATGCTATCTCATAAATATTCTCCCATGTCTTTCCCACTACTTATGGTATTTTGTTATTTGTATTATGAGATAATATATCTCGTACTGTCGAGATATGCGATTAATGAACATCAATTTCCGTGATACAACTTCTTTTCCAATTAACCAATGTACATGTCTTAATATCGCGATCGTGATCTCATTAGCGAATATCATGCATGTGCATTAAAATTTCTAGAATCTATAGTTCGTATATATAATAATCGATATTAATATATGCCGTGATAACGATAATTATCCACGAACAATTTAATTAATTAATCGAAGATAAACGTATCGTTATGTTTTATTGTTTTATCGTATATGTTAATCCAACTAAAAGGCATCGTCCCGATATACGTCGACGATAGTTTCACTTTAACGCGCGTGAAAGTCGCGGATTTGACGAGTGTTAAGAATCGAAATTGCTCAATTCGTCGGATGAAAATGGAAATCGCGGACGAACTCGAAATTAGATCGACTGTGACGAGATATCGTGTGCGTTGCAGTCATATGCGACGTTCCATCGTTGCGGGAAAGTCAGGACGGCGATTTCACTTAAATTGCGGAAAGGATGCGTAAAAAGAATATAAAGCTGATGGCGTATCGAAAGTGTTGTTATTAACACTTTCAATAAAACATCATCTTTATAGATGGCATGCACCAACCGTGCGTTTTCTTTTGCTTTAAGTTAAAAATTTGAAAGAAGCGAGAAAAAATAGTGTATCTTCTCATGTGAAGCGCGAACGCATAGCCGTAAGTTAATTATTAAGCAAGTTATACTTATGATCGTAATTGCTATAGAATCTTATTTTTCATCATCACGATGTCACGTAAAGACAAGCCAAAACGAAGATAACATCGGCACGCGTCGTATCTCGCTGTAACGAGATCATGAATGTTCCTCGATAGATAATAGCAATAAGTACCGCGAGCATGATTGATCGTGATTGCTAATGATTCTCACGTCGTATAATCGATTTAAATTCATATTTTCTAAAAGCCATCTAACTTTTTTCTCTCGAAGAGTATTTCACCTTTTTTTTTATCTTATGATTGCGTACGTAACCATTGTTGTACTGCACGAAATGCCGGATGACAGTGTCGTGCTGGTTATGCAATTTCGTTGATAATATTATTATACCGTATTGCATTCGCACCGATCTTCTATTCCTGACATACAAGTCCGCTCTATAAAATCAATACTCGGGAAATTCAATGCAAAAGATAACAAAGAATATTTATCTTCGAGACGGTGTACAGGAAAAAACAAGCGCATCTAAGCGATTGATCAGATAGACGTGGTGCACATAAATAGCGTTAAGAAATTATATCAAGATTCTCATTGTCATATTGTGTTCTCCATTTTCATTTGTAAATAATGTTTATCTACTCGCGTATAAGAGCGGAGTAAAGCCGCAAGTGAATGCGATCGTCGTGCAACAATACGGTGTCTACAGACGGAGATGTCTCTATGACCGCAAACCACAGATGCAAGAATATCGTGGGTTTTTCGATTTTTCTTTCTATAACACTTTGTTTTGCCTTTTATTTTTCTTTTAAACTATCTAGAGCAAACCCCATCTGCATTTTTCTCATATTTTTCAATCAACGTTTGCTTCATTTGTTTGCGAATAAACGGAATAATTTTAAGGAATTCTCGTATAGTTTATTTAATTGAAGGTTTCTGAATATGTTCTCTCCAGCAACCGCTAGATGTTGCGATTTCTCAGGACGCTTGTTCGATTAACCCTGCACTATCGTTCGATAAGCGTACGTTATATTGAAATAGAAGAACCGTACATGTGCTTACGGGAACGATTCTGAATGTAATTGACTCATTTGAATAATTTATACTGCTTCCGTGTACGTCAATAGCGGATTGCTTCATAATTTATACATTCTGCATTAACCGTAAGCATGAAAGTAAATCAATTTTACGTAATTTGTTCGCGTGAAGTACAACAATACGTATTAACGAGGAAGCATCACTGATTAGAATCGTTTCTCTTCTAAATTTAAAAGCAGGAAAGGCTTATATATTTTATTTTATAATCATGACTAAAATAGAATAAGTTTATTTACATAAATTTATGCGATTACGACTAATACCTGCAAATTAGCATACAGAATTATTGCATAATAAATAGATTTATTTGTTATTCACATAGAAAATTTTGATTAACGACACATTTTCTGTTAATTATAGACTTAAATTTTTTTAGAATTTCTTTTATCTAAAATACAAATTTATCTAAATATATTTTACTCTATCTTTAATCTATATTCGTAACTGAGAATCAAACCGTATGGACGATTGATTTTGATCATCGATTCTAGTTTCATCACCATAGCCATCTTCGTAGCAGCATCCAGCCACTGCCCGCAACTTATGGACAGTGAGAAAAGACGATAATCACTATGATGCTATCAATTTATGATTGGAAGCGCCTTGAAATTAACCGCGTAGATATCTTTCTATCCTTCGACATAAATATTTCATACGTGTAAGCGCGACAATAATTCGTGCGCTCTTTGAGATTTATTCGATGTGCGAGTGTAAAATACCGTGATGTTAATTCTGTATAAATTAATGTATTAACTCTATAAATTAATACGACATTTCAAATGACAGTTTATACTTCTTATTTCGCCATTATTTTAATTTTTTTAGAAGAATTTTAAATGGATCAGGAAGGATTCCATTTCGTAGATATTTATCATACATGGAATTATTTTTAATAGAATAGAAAACGTCATTAATTATATAAATTAATATTTCCTGGAATAAAATAATGTAATTTAAAGAACTTTTTTTAATCATATAATTAAATTGTTTGCACAGGAGCGCTTAAGACCACCCACGTATAACGCTGAAGATTACGCAATCGCACTAAGACGATGGGGAAGACGCCCATTAGGAACCGTTCAAGACTCTCAAGGTACTTTGCCGTCGACAACCAGTTCGAGTTCCGGTTATGCATCCGGAAGTGGCGAGATGACCTTGAGACAGTTCACGTCGGTCAGCGAGCTGTTAAATAAACTCAGAGCCGATCTCAGACTTGCCTTTCCCAGGTTAGTGCCCATGAAATTAATCATTTGTCACTAATTATAGATATTGATTTTTGCGCTTCTTAATATAATTATTTACTTATTAGGTATTTAATTTAAAAATAGTTACAATTGATATATTTGCAGTTATAAATTCGTTTCTAATCATTTAGCGTATTAGATATTTTTACCTAGTATGATGAATACTATTTATTCTTTGAATCCTTTAACATTTGATGTATGTCACATTTTTTATTATTACTCGATTATAAAGAACAATTGTAGGAAGCGATTACTACTCATTTTATAACGTGGAGATTAGTTCACTCTCATATTCTCATATTCAGAATAACAAATTCTATAGATACACGCGAGAAACGCACGCGGAAGTATGAAGTATGAATTATTTGCGAACGATTAAAATAACACTCACTGTTCGTGCTCCCTGGGTGGAACTAATGACGAGAAAGATGTAAGATATTAATCTCGCGAGCGACGTGGAATATAAATCGAAACGAATATTTAAAGAAACTGAGGCGATGCAGAAATCCAAATTCCCACGTTTGTCCTTTTTAAAAACTTTTAATTTTAATTGTATTTTGAGCTGTATCTTAGAGGAATGATACCATGTGCAAGAGAAATCATCTATCGAATATTCATCAGACGATAAAAAATATACGCAGAGTGAGTTTACAGTTACCTTTTATGTCGTTTTACGGAGAAGAAGGTGGGCCAATGCGTGAAAGCGTTCTCTCTTTCTCTCTCTTTAGCTCATCAAAATTCTTTCCTCTTAATCGCGACACTAATCGGAACTTGATCCACAACGTGCGAATTCTTGTATTCGGAAAGGGCAATGCTCGATGAAAAATGCCTATTTAATATAGAATGAGTTAATTAAACAAATAAAAAATATCGCTCTCGTGTTATACTATGCAACAAGCGAGATATTTCTAAGAATTAGTCACAATTCTAAACTGGTATGTCATAAAAATTATTTACACGATTAGAAAAGTAGTGCCGACGGCATGATGCGCAACCGTGCGCAACGTTCACGTCTGTTAAGTCCGAAGATGATTAAGAATCTCGCGTTATCGTTAGAATTTTTCTCCCTGCCTGTCAATGCTTCACACCACTAGTCGGAAGATCGATGATGTTTGTCTCGCGCCGAGACGCTCGAGGCGCATTTATTCATATTGATTCGTAGTGCCTGTAATCGCAGCAATAAGGTAGCTAACTAATTGGTCGTAATAATGAAGCCACAATAGCAATCTTGTATCTGACAAATAAAGTTTATAATTATAGATAATAATTTTAACAGACAAAAGTCTAAATCACTAACTCCATTTCTTTTTTTCTCTTACTTTTAAATGTTATATATATCTGGACGATCCGACATGTTCAACCATGCGACGCAATTTCGCGGCTATATTCTGAAAAATTACGATGTATCCTGCCGCTCCTCGATTATAAACGATTTACATGGCGCGGACGATCCACCATACACTCCGCTCGAAAGAGAGAGAGAGAGGGAGAGAGAGGGGGGGGGGGGGGCGAGATAGATAGAAGAGAAACGGATAGAAGAGCGTGAATCCGTTAACTTGGCAGATGATTAAAGACGATGCTCGGTATTAAATTCTTCCACAGTCTGTCGTTGGTACAGCATGTTTTAAAGGACGAATGTTGATGGCTCTATCCGCCGTTTACACGCGCGCGTCATATGGCGGACGAGAATGTCCCAGATAAATGAGTTATAATACGCTGCGCGTCTCTCGATAACCCGTAAGTAGCGGCTTCGGATAACCGAATGCCGATATTACGGCTAACTGTATAGTGGCACACCGCTGCAAATCGATCTGGCCGAGCTGCACATCTTCCGTCTTCGCTGGCGAAAAAAAAGCGGCTGAAACGACAGGTGTATCATTTACAACGAAGCCCTATTAGAGCTCTTAATTGTATTTTCATGGATTCGCTGTATTACACATGGCTCATATAGAATAGGTCCTTAGGTAAAGGCTGCCATAATATTCTCATCCACAACGTGATATAGTTACGCAAATAGACAACTTTTCCATCAATAAAATTTTTACTCTCAATATATAGTTAAATATATATAATTTATTAATACAAGTATTAATAAATAAGTATGTAATATTAAGTGAATAAATATGTCCTGTGCAATCTATTAAATCTATCTATTATAGCAAATCTAGTCCGTACTACTTCTCACATTTTATTTCTTTGTATTACTTTCATCAATCATATCGGTCGTCTGAAGTGAAGACACGTACGTCGTAAAACTTTCTAGTAAAATTATGGCTGACGACGAGTGTATCGTCTTGAAGGAAGCTTAAAAAATTTCTTGACATTTTGACGGAAGTTAGCATCGTATCAGATGAGGAGGATAGCGTGAAATTAAATCATTCCGCTTTCTCCTAATAAAATCTAGTTAGCCAGAGGAAATACTGTTTTGTTTATAATTTATTTCATTTCCCCATGAACACGCGCAGAAATTGTTTCAAATCCTATAATCATAGAAACTCGATATATATGTGTATACGTGTGTGTTGCGTGTGATTCATTTAATTAATAAAATATATATAAATATGGAAAAATATTACAATTATAGATCTGCTATGTATTTGATAGAATAGCATACGAAGCAAAATTATATTATAGGACAAATTTGGTTTTTCGATTCCTTTAAGTCTTGTTTATTAGAAAATTACTTACACATTCTTTTTTAATTAGATGTAATTAAAGCGATAAAATTCGCATATAATCTGATAAAGAAGGTATCGTTACGCGATGTATTTTTATGCAGTAGTGAGCACAGAAAAAAAATACACGTAGATATAAGAAACGAAGACGGCGAAATCTTAATTAAAGATTATTACAAAATGAATCGGTCCTCCGATTAGTCTCCGAGAAATCAATCTCAATTAATTAATAAAAAAAGAAGCCTAAAAATGTCAGCCAAGTGAACAAAAGAGGGAAAATCTTTCAGTTTTTTCTCCTCTTTTTTTCCTCTCTCTCCCTTTCGGGCGCACTAGCAAGTATTAGTCGCCTCGAAGGCGAAGCCTCGACCGGGCACCGAACCCGCCGTACACTCATAGTCCACAGGTGCTTCCGCTTGGCGTAATAACGAATGCATAACCGCTTCCTACTACACGCGTGATGAAAAACGAGGAAGCTTTTTTCCTCTCTCACACGATATCAGACACCGCCGTTTGCTGTCTTTTTGTGCGGTGCATGTCGATAAGTCTGTCATTGTTTGCTCGTTTGTTCCATAAGCGTCTATCTTCTTTCTTGTCGGTTATGCTTCAATGGGTTCTGCAATGTATTCTTATATCTGGTTTCTTCATTGTCCTTGAAAGTGATCGCTGTCGAATGCACTTATATCTTGTTTAGTTTGCCGTTCAATTATGACTCGGTTAATTCTATCCGCACGTCATTTGTCGATGAGTTCTCGTATTATTCTAACATATTATATATACCTACATATATTAAGTACTTAAAAATAAAAAATTAACTGCTAAAAAATAAATATAAAATCAATTTAATTAACATTATTATGCATTACAAATTTTAAGATAAACTGAATTCTAAAAAACACACTTTTGAAGATGTTACATATGTTTAATTAATAAAATGTTATTTTACTTTTCTGTAACTTTATTCTGATTTCACGCAAATTCTAAAACATATAAAACAGATCATATCACACTTAAAATCAAAATTAAGTATAAAATCAATATTCTACACAGTACTTTGAATTTAAAAAATTACGCAAGATTGTGGAAAATAGAGTCATAATGAGAGAATTATGTGAGACGGCATGAAAACTCGTCATTTTGTTGCGATGAGCTATAACATTAGAAAAGGGACTAGTACGTACACGAACGTATTATATTATAGACGTTATTTCCATGAATTATATGCATACATTATCATACATTTGTACGTGTAATATTGGGTTTATCCGTCGCGATCGAAACACGTTGCCGTTATCGTGGATGTTTTATGCTTTATCAATATTCATGCGCCATGTGCTGCCCAGTGATCCGTACGTATCGAGGCTCCTCTCGCTCGCGCGGCTGGTCTTGATACTTATTCTTTTGCAGTTGTGTCCGGTTTCATCCAACTTTTTACTAACAGCATCAATCTATCTGTTTTTTTTTTGTTATGCACCGTCTATTTACACAAAATGCTGATTGTCAAGAAACTGCACAACTTTCTTCAATATAATAGACAAAAAAAAAGAGAAAAGATTATTAGGAAGAAAAGATTATTGAAAATGAATCTATAATAATATTTAAAATTTAAATAATGAGAGAACTTGTATGTGACAATCGCGACTGTATCGGCGTGCTCGTTTTTCTCTTTTACTGTCACTCTCGTCGTCTTCGAGGCTTTCGTTTTCTCCGCATCCAAACGCGGTCGCTGCGGCATTTTTACGGCGCGGGCAACAAAGGCAGATCCTCTGTATTTCGTGCACGTACTGCGCTGCGGTATCGCGATACCTTCGCGCATTATGCATAATACGCCGGTAACATAATGCATCCATTGTTAAGAGGGAAGAACCGCCGGTCTTGATCCTCTCCTCTTGCCTTCCTTTGTCGTTAAACGTCCAGAGACGTCGACCGCAGCGATATAGGAGGCATTTAATACTCATTTGCATGTCCCCGTGTATTCGATTCACTGCACTGTCACTTACACACAATACACGCATGCTGTTTATAGCAATTTCTGTCTAGACAAAGTCCATTTTGAGTAATATTTTTTCGGCGAGTTATATGTCGTAACGCATCATGTGTCTTAGCATACTAAAACATAGCATTCAAATCACTCGCTTTCGAATATTCTTTCAACAATACTTATAATGCTCGATTCTTTGCAAACTGGAGTGGCTCCATTGTGGTATCGTGATAATCAACGTACTTTCATTCAATAGAGCAAGAATTGTTTCATGCTGGGAGATGAGGTAACGAAGGAGTTTTTCCCATAATTGTTTTTTCCGCGTGAAAATGTGCCAAGTGAAGATGATAATTGAAGAGGCATTGTGGATAAAGGCGATATATTACGAAAGTTAAATAAAACTATTCTGTGCCGATATCTTTTTCTCACTAGAATCTCTACTGTTACTGTAACATTATTTATACATTATTTTCCTTAACATAAAATATTATTAAAAACAATATAGTTTACATAATGTTATATAAAAAAAAAAACGTAACACTACTATTACAAAAATATTTTTTCTTAAAATACTACTTTATTGTTTGGTATTTAACAATAATCTACTTATTTATGATGTCAATGTCTTGTCGTATTTTCGATATACATATATTGTGAATTATATTACGTCAAAATCAAGATTTTATTTTAAAAGATGCAGTTAACTTTTATTTCACCTAGAAATGCTCCCTTAAAGCCAAAATTTTTGATTAAAAGAATGTGTTTTTTTCAAAACCATACAATCTGAAAAAACTCACGTCGATGTCACATTTAATTATCAAGAGTTATTCAAATGCGTTAATTAAAATGAAACAGCCTATATAAAAAAAATTCCTTTATATCTCTATATTTTATTATTTTATACCGTGTTATATATTATATTATTTCTCTTGCCATGACACATTTGATGCCCATTTCTATATCTTCCGTTGATAATCGCAGCGATGGATCTCGCAGCTTCTTATTAGCCAAAAAACATGTCGATCGACCGTGGCAGCTCTTAATTTACGGTTTATGTTTATCGTTTTCTTTCTCTTGATCGCCACTACATGTTGGCGAATAACGGAAAGTTGCGCAACGATGCTATAAATGGCACGCGAGGTAGAATGGTCCTTCTTTGGTTCTGAATGCGATGCTTGACAATGCAACGGGACATTCATGCTAAATTTGGTATATAATACATAAAACGCGGAAAATTCCTCGCAATCGAATTTTTAATTCTCGATGGAATGTCTTTGAACATTTCTTCTATCGGCGAAAATACGCGTTTCAGAAGCGGAATTTTATTTTCGGCCCACCATCCTTTGAGGAGGATAAACAGGCAAAGAGAAGAGACTTGTGGAAAATACCCTGAATAACCTGAATAGATTAGAATGTATTTTATTCTTCTAAAAAAGGTAGACAATCTATCACGATCTTCAGCGATATAGAGATTTTTATTATGCGATTTTATTATTGTCGTATACAAATTCTCGCAGTATGTATAAGAAAGACGACGCGATGAGAGGCCTCTTCTCTATATGTCATCTCTTTTATTACGCCATCGCGTGTTCTTCCAGGCAATGCGATTAAGGAAATTAAATCGATCGGAGGAAGTTCAAAAAAACCTTAGCAATTACGATAAATTCGATGCGCATCGTTTCTGCAAAATCGAGAAAAAAAAATTGCGAGCACTCGCGCGAGTATGGACTTGTCACCGCGTGACAGGTATAACGTGTACTTTCCCGTCCTCACACCTGTTTACCTTAAGGCGTTGCGGGTAGTTGTAAAGGGAAACCATCTCACGTTGCTGCTGCTGAATCGCAAAGACTTTGTAAAAGGACACTCGGATCGATTGAAGAAACACTAGTAAGGCTTGATTTATTACGTTATGTAGAGGTCGTATCGATGAAGGCTCACGCGTAAAGTCATCGGGCTTTTTACCAATTCCTTGCCGATTTAAAATACTAACTGTTCGATAATAAGATTTATTTCGTTTAATTTAAACGAGCGAGATGAGTCTTACTTTTCTGTAGTCTTGTTTAGAGAGATATATGTATAAATGGGAAGCCTTATTTATCCGATAATGTAAATATAAATTGCTGCACTATTTTCGAATAAACGATACTTTTCGATTCTCACCGAGTCGTGCGTGATGAGAAAGCAAGCAGCAACTTGGACACGTATCTCTTGTAATGTCTTTGTTAATATATTCAGGATCGATGATGATCGATTCCTTCGTCCAATCACGAAGTCGCCCTCTCCGCTCTCGTGGTGACAATCTCGGAAAAAACTCGCTGAGCTGCACGCGCATAAACCGGATCAGTTTTCTTGTCGAGCGAGAAGCTCCGTAATTATGTAATTACTATCTTTTTTCTTTTTATTTTAATATCTTCAACGCTTATGTGACGATTTTTATTCAAAGGATAAGAATGTTATTACAACCAGTATTCATTGGCGTAACTACTGGGATGTTTAACTTTATATGAGAAATCTTCTTACAAGTCGTAAACATCTAATCTCTGAAATGATGTACGAGTTGCAGAATCATGATTCAAATATGCAGAATGACTGACTTGCTTATATATTCCGTCTGCATATATTTTCCAATTTTTTCGAACAGGTTTTCTATGGTTTAGAAATTCTCGCCAAGTTTGTTTCGAGATGATTATTCATTTTCTCTACAATTCACTTACAAAAGAAATTAGTTTTGTAAATTTTGATTTTCTAAAAATTCATTTCATTTTGACGTGCATATATCGGTTATATCGATTTTATTTTCATTTATTATTAAAGAGAAGATCCGAAAAGAACTGAATATAAAAAATGATTAGAGTGCTTATTGAAAAAATCATTATAGATATATGCAGCAGTGTCGGCAATTGGATTTTAATTTTTTTTTTTTATGACTTAAAAATATTGAAATAGGAACATTAAGAATATAAAACTTTCACTATATTGTTACAATTATACGAGATGTCGAAGATCTTCGTAACATATTATATTTTCTTTTTCAGTTTTGTGCAAGAGTTCGCCTCCCCGCCTGCGGATGGAATCACCCTCCTGCTGGAAACTTTACGCGGTGTTCAACTGGCCCAAAGTTCACCGCCGAGTTCGGGGCAGACTGGACCCAGGATCGGTACCAGAAGGGCTGCCCTGGACGAATTGGGGTGCGTGGAATGCCTGGCCGCGTGCGGTGAACGATGCGCCGATGCGCCGCGACTATTAGTGCAGGCGCAACCTGGCCTCCTGGCTCTCGCGGTCTGTCTGACTAGCAGTCTGAACCGGTCCCGAGTTCTGGCTCTTCAGGTAACAATCGCCACTTCCGCTCGCGAAGCGTCGCGATACCGTTAGATAAAAAGAATCGATTATAGAGCCACTGCGTTTCGTGCGAACGTCAGCACGCGAAATATAACACTCTTCTTCCCCTTCTGCGATATCATCTCTTGAACCGTACAGTTTATATAAACCTCCAGATCCAATATATTTTTGCTAAACATATATGTATAGTTAAAAAATTTAATTATATATATTATTTAATACAATTACATATATTTAATATTTCACTTTTAATTTTCGTAAAAACGAAACGTATTGCTCGTCTCAAGTAGCAGAGTGACGAAAATCTTTTAATTCTCTGCTACTTGGGGTATTTACATTTTAATACAAATTGCGGCTAATGATATCAATGATAACAGTAACTCGATATATTTACACTAAAGTGATAAAACATTCACGCGTTATGGATCAAGGAAATAAAGAAATTACAGTTACTGTGAAATGAAGTGGCAGTGGGTCATCTCGTCTTGTGCGATAAGTTAATGCTCCCGGTCATTTCGACATTTTTTTTTCGGAGTCGTCAGGACGGGGTCGTAAACGTGTGTTTCGAGCAGAGGCGATACGCTCGACAAGCGATGACGCCGTTATTTCGAAGGTGCTCACCGACAAAACCAGTTTTTATCCGCCGAATGTTATTCGATCGAGAGCAATGGCTACGTTTACAAACTTATGCGCACATGGATGACGTTGGATCTTTTTTTTTTATCTTCCGGCTCTTGGGATGTGTACCTTACGAGCGGATATCGCGCGATACAATCAGCAAGTTCGTCTAGCCGAGGCGGACAATTATTAATTCCACGGCACGTGATCACGAGTTCTGTAAAACTGCGAACGTATAGTAAGAATGTCCGTTCATAGCGAAGTAAGAAATAATCAGATTCCAATTAAGCCACGCAATCTACCACGTGAATTTTTCGACAGATTTCCAATTCGTTTTTATTTTTAGCAAGAGAGAGAGAGAGAGAGAGAGAGCAACACGCATCGCGAATTTTCAATATTTTCTGTATTGCATTTTATTTTGGTTTAAAATGGAATATACACAAATAAATTTAATTGCTTTGCAGCTCTTAACGAAAGTGTGCCAAGCACCAGGTGGACATGCGGCCGTTTCGGAAGCGGTATCAACTCTGAGACTCAAATATGGAGAAGGTGGAAGATTCCGATTTTTAGCGGGCGCTCTTTTAGCTCCGAGGGCAGCCATCGCGTTGAGGGTTGCAGGAGTTTCATTTCTAAATGCTTTTTTGAAATCTGCGCCCCGCACGCAAACTAAGTTATACATCCAGGTAAGAGATACCGATAGAAATAGTTATATTCGCCACTCAAAATATTTATTTCGATCCACGTAATGTCGATAATATGTAGTAATATATTTAAAAATATTTGTGCCTTGATATTACATAATTATGAAGGTCAATTATAAAAAATAAATAAAAATTATTAAAAAATATAAAATTTTTTAATGAGATTTGCTTTTGTTATTTCCACATATTAGGATGCAAATATTTTACTTTCTTTTTTTAGGCTGAAGCCTGCGAAGCTGGCCTAGAGCCGCAGGTACTTCAGGAATGGCTGAGAGAATTCGACGGACGCGAGGAGGACGCTTTAACTGATTTGCTGCACAAGGAAGTTCAGAAATGGATGCACAACTGCGTCGATGTGGACGCTCTGCAGCGCAGGGTGACACGCGCGGAGGAAACCTGTAGGATACTCAGCAAAAAAGTATCGCTTCTGCAGTTGCAATTAGAGAAACGAAATGACTGCAATTTGGAGGAACGAGATAAATCTGCGTCGATGATCCTTATTGCCACTAAAAGCCCGAAAGTGTCTTCGAATGCGGAGGACGAAGGTATCAGCTCTTCGGAGAGATCCAGCAGCCCTGAAAATACGAAGCATCAAGCACGAACCAATCGGCAGAAAGCCTCACCTACGCAAAGCAACGATCAGGAGACAACGATAGACGACGTGATCGAGGAGCTGCGGATCATAGTGAAGGATGCCGAGGAAGAATTCAGCGACAAAACTCAGGAACTGAACCGTCGTGCTAATAACGATCAAGAAGCAGCCCATAATAATAAACAGGAATCGGATAAAAACAAATTATATCGATCAAATTCCAAAATCTCGTTGAATAATTCCGAGAGTTATATGTACGACAAAATATCTAAAAAGGACCAATATGCGGATTTGAAGATGCTAAAATCAAATGCGAGCCCTAACGCGTTTCCAAATCAGACAAAAGGTGAGCAGGTGACCTATTTCGGCAACGATCAAGATTACAGCACGGACTCGGACGGCACGAAGGGGTTGAGTCTTGGTGAGCCGCGCAAAACGTCCAAGTCGTCGATGGAAGGCAGCGTTAAGATCGTCGTGAAGGGACCCGATGTGGAAGAGGCGATAGTGCCGGCTATTCTGCATCCGCAACCGCCACGAAGGGCACCGCCCTGCTTATCGGCCATCATGTCCGCCAGGCATTGCGATTTCGTCGATCACGCGGATATGTACAACTCCCACGACGAGGAAGTCGAGGAGGAAACTCTGGGTGACGGCAGCGATTCCTTGTTAAGCGCTTCCAAGCTCAAATATAATAGCAAACATCAAATCTACGACGGACAGATGAGGAACCTCAATGAGGATCACTTGCAAAAACAGACTAAGAGCGACACTATACTGATAGGCCCGAATCGTATCGATGTTAAACTTGGAAAGAGTCTCGATGATCTGTGTTACTTCGGAGATAACGATATGAATGACAGAAAAACGTTGAGAAATTACGAGTTTTCGAAATCAAAGATAATTACGGATGTCAGGCCGGTTAACAGACAAATCGACGTTTACAGACAATTCGAATCTATTCCCAAGGGATTCGAGACGTCCTCGGGACGATCGGCCGATCAACGGACGATCCATCGGCACAGCTCCAAATACAGAAGCGAGATAGAAAAGAGAAAATATTTACGTCGCTCGGCTAGTCACGATTATTTCGAGTCGAATATGTCCAGTCCGCAGTCGAGACGCTCGGGGAGCAGAGTGGAGTGTCGTATCAGGAAATTTGAAAGCTTAAATTCTTTCGACGAACATCGAAGTCTACATAATTACGAGAGATCGAACGACTCCGAGAATCTTGATAAACAAGAGCAGACGTCACTCCTAATAGATTCTTCGAGATTTAAAATGCGTAGATCGGAATCTTTCCATCACATCTCCCATCACGTATCGAAGAAGGATCAATGCTCGTCGAAAGGGGAGAGCGACAGCGGTCTTTTCTACATCACGGACTTTAATCTGAAACCTGTCGTCACGAGACGACCGCGATCGATCGACGCGCCCAAATCTCCCAGTTTGATAACTAAATCCCTGGACAGGATTGACGAGGGTCTAGATTCGATGGTCGACATTGTTATTATGCAAGAGCAAAATCAGTGGAACGGAGAGAAACGTCAATCGAAGGCGACCAAGTCACGCGACGAGAAGCAACCGACGAGATCGAGAGCAGTCAGATCTGACGATTTCTGTGGTAACTCTTCAGAATTTGATCAGCAAGGAAAACGGGATAATATCGTTTCTAGACATCTGAAGAACGACGAGCTGTATCATGTTAACAACAAACAATTAAAAAGCGATGAATTCTACGAGGAACAGAAGACTCGCGAATGGAATTATCATAATGAGTTAAATTATGCGAAAAGCCAGGGTGAAACTAGCTCACCGGAAGACTCACCGATAATATTATCGAAAAATGGCATAAGACACAATTCCTTTTGTCAAAAGGATAAAGTCAGTGGTAAGTTTTCTGGTAGGCCGAACGAATCGGCAATTTTTGCTGGACGAACATACGATACATTTGGCCTCGGAAAGAATCGTTTCAATGCAGGCAAATATTCAGGAAATCAACAAATTAAAGAAAATCCAATTAGTCGAAGAAACACGACATCTTCGCTAATTGGGAAACGTGGAAAAGTAACGGATGTTGTCTCCGGTCTTTACTGAACGCGAAACATAAGTTATATATAGAGCTTTAAAGAACCAATGGAAATGATTCGTACATTCGTCTTCATTTTCTCGCGTATAAAAAATGATTAAGATTTATAATTAAGAATAACTAAATTAACACTATGTTTTGTAGATAAAACTACAATATAAAAAGAGCTCTTTAGAATCATTTTTGTATAAAAATATTCCAGATACATTAGGATATTATATGTATCATATTAAAAATTGATGCAGAAAAATCAATTATTTTATTCTAGGTTTAAATTGGATTCCAATTTAAAGCAAGCGTTAAATGTATGTGAAAAAAATATAATTTTATTATGCTGCCCAATAGTAAAACAAGAAAATATGTAAGTTTGAGAATTTGTGATTTTTATAATGTATGAAAAGCACAAAGAAAGAGTATAACGAATGATAGATTTCATCGGTACACAAGTACGTTATTTCTTATTAAATAGAAATCGATTAGACAATGATAATAATTTTGAGTGCAATATTTTTGAGTATTACTACGATGCTATACCTGTAATAATTAATTTACATCGAATATACACAACGAATACACGTCTTTTATAACAGCAAATAATTTTTCTGGTGATGGACTCTTGTGTGCCTTCACTACATTGTGTGATACAGTTCTTTGTTAACAACGATTATATATGCAATAGTAGTGCAAGTGCCAACTAAGACTGTACTTCGTAGATTTCTATTACATGTATATATAAATTTGAAGATGAGGTTGAAATGATTTTTATTAAACATCAGGAAAATAATGTTTAGATTAAGCAGCAAGATTATTTATAGCTTCTAAAATTATAACAAAATTATTTTTTGCGTTAAGAAATAAGGACAAAACCTTTCATATTAAGAAATAACTTTATTTCTACGTCGCTTTTAATTTATTGATTTGTGTGCTTAATATCATTTAAATAAAGATTGTAACTATGTAACATTCTGTTTAATAAAACTTGTTTTTTTTATTGATATAAAAATGAGATTCAATTTCAACTTGCAGTTGCGTGTAAAAGTGTACTCGTAACTTCACTAAGTTCATGGCAGGAACCACGCGCATTTCTGTGAATCATCTCCGAATTATTTAATGTTAAAGATGCATGTAATTTGTCATGTGTTTGCTCAAGAAGCTGTTGCGAAGATTTGTCTGAAAATAAGACAATGCATAAATTTTTAGATATGAAAATCAAATTAAAAGGACGAGGCTTGCTCACAAGAGATATTGCACCTCATTATCTCTTAATATTATTATTGTTTTACATTGCGAATTACCTTGAACTGTCGATAACAGATAAGAGAGCTCTTCCTGAGTCGAAACATACTGGAATTCGTCGCCACAGGCACCTTTTAAAACGGTAACCACATCCGATCTTGGATTGTAGAAATATAACCCCTGTTTGCGACTACTAAATTCATTAATCAATGTTTTCATACCCTGAATTAGAAAAAAAATAATATTTAAATTTAGCATGATTTATAGTTTAATCGTACGATGTATTAAATACATTCAATTCTTAAAAAAAATAAAAATGTTACCTTAGCAGCCGTAAAATCTGCCCCCAAAATGTATCTACAATCAACAACAACCGGTATTTGACTAGATCCTTGCTTTATACCAGCATTACCAACCGACTGCTTTATAAAGTCGACAGCTGGGAAATATAAGCTGTTTCCTGGAGTAACTAGTAAGTACTCTGCGCCACAATCAGTCTATAACAAATATAATATCAATTTTTATCAAAACATTACACTTAGACGTGTAAAAGTAAAATCGTGTATTTTGGAAAAGATTGCTGTAATATATGTATGTCAGATTCAATGTTCTGCACACTTTTACAATTGACAGGAAACAACTAGAACAGTGGAAAAAAAAGAGAACAGATTTCATTATTCAAATTTTGTTTTTGCTACCACCTACTGTGTATTTGTCAACATGAACCGTAGGTCTTGCAGAAGGATATAATAGGAACATCAAATTTATGGCGACCCCCGACAAAATACCGTATTCTACACCAATGATGAGGCAAAACATAAAAGTAACAAACATCGGTACGAGATCCTTTTTGCTCGATTTCCACATCAGTTTCACAACTTCGTATTCGATCATGTATATTACTGCGCAAATGATTACGGCCGATAATGAAGCTGAAAGAGAGAACAATTACGCCAAATTGGCATTCTTTGCGTTTATCTGTTGCGTGCGTTAAAGTGCTCTGCTACCTTTTGGAATGAAGTAGAAGTATGGCGTGAGCAGACTGAGGGCCAGTAAAATCAGAATTCCAGTGTATAATCCACCCATTGGAGTCTTCACGCCACTGGCGTGATTTACTGCTGATCTACTGAACGATCCTGTAACTGGCATAGAACTCGCGCAGGATCCAAGAACATTACAGATTCCGAGCGTCAGGAGTTCTTGAGAAGCGTCAACCTTCCCCTCACTCATGAAAGCCTTAGCTATGGCCACGTTGCCGAGCACAGCTATTATTGGCACCAATACTATGGAAGTACCCAATTCGGAACACATTTGCGTGAAGGTAAGAGTATGGTTATTTATTTGTGTGGAAAAAGGTGGCAGGCCGAATGGTGGAAGACCAGATCTTACTGGACCCGTTAGAATAAATAGAGATCCAGATTCGGACGAATCGTATTTGTAAGCAATAGCGGAACAAGTGATAACGACAATGGCATTTCGCGCTGTGGAGACCAGCCATATCGCTTTCGCGATTATACGTCGATGATTCACTGAGTTCTTATCAACGGCATGCAATTTAACGTCCTTCATTTTCTATAAATTGTACGAGATTTGTCAAGAAGCAATATACCAGATATAATGCAAATGTTAAACAAAATAAAAATTCATTCATTACCCTAAACAACAAGAGAATTGCGATACAAGAGATACTCATCCCAGTATCCCATGGACTCGTGTCACCGATATTTCGAAAGACTTTAATTAAAGTATCCATGAATCCTTGAGACGAAATTTTTAAACCTAACAATCCTTTCAATTGCGAAGCAACGATTATGACGGACGTTGCTGAAGTGAAGCCCACGGTGACTGGTATCGAGATAAAGTCTACAAGTACACCTACAAAATTATTCAAATTATGTTAAACGCAAATAAATAATTACCTATTAAGTCATTAAAACTATCGATCAAATAATATAATACAAGGATATGTGCAAAACTAGTTCAGAATAGTATTGTATTTACTTGGAAATCTTAAATTATAAATAATTATAAATAATCTTGCAGTAACCTTACGCATAGCCTGCGTACCTCACGTAAAGTAAGTCTTACCTTGCGTACTTCTGAATGGAAGTACTTTTTTTTTTCACTTGAAATTCTATTTTCTATCCGAAGTTGACTTAAAATAAAGCATTTTCTTATTTGTTTGAGTTCAGCATACCTAAACGTAAGCATGCCATTAGTAATTGCAGGCAACCAGATAAGAATGCGAGAAGTACGGCGTAATCAGCACTTCTTCCTTGCACATAGTCGTGAGTCATTAATGCCATAAGTGCGGTAGGGCCTATTGTAATATCTTTACAAGAGCCAAATATCACGTAAACTATTGCGCCCATAAATGCCGAGTAAAGACCGTACTGCAAGTAAACACAATATTAATAATACATCTCAATTTGCATGTTTAAGAGATAAGCATTAATACAAAGAATATTGATGTGTTTGCCTATATATACCTGGGGTTCCAGACCAGCCAATGTCGCATACGCGAGTCCTTGTGGCATAACAGTAAGACCGACTGTTATGCCGGCTATAATGTCGCTAAGGAATTTTTCCGAATTGTACTTCGGCAACCACGCTAAGATCGGCACGCGTCTCAACGCTAATTTGTGTAGCCGATCAACGTAGGTTTTTTTCTTCCAGCGATCAGCTTCAGTAGCCATTCTGAATCAAGCCAGCCAGCTTCCATGAACAGAACGACAAACAAATAAATATATAAATCGAAGAGATAAATAGCATTCTTATCAAATCAAAAGTGATAAAAGTTTTTATCTATAATAAATAGAAAGCATAAGAATGCATCATAACAGAAAAATAACCGAGACAGGAAATTATAAGATTCAAGAAAAAAACATTACAAAACTCCGCACAGTGTATATTTTAATTATCAGTAAATTAATTTACCTAAATAAAAAAAATTTTTTAAATGATTTTTTACATAATATTAAAATTAAAAAATTTAAAGTCTTAAAAATATTTTATGTAAACATAGCGATTAATTACTCCTGATTTCATTGAATGAATCAGTGATATTATCAATCGTGTCTGTGTTGCAAGAATTTATTCGTGGAAGCATCGATAATTTAATTTATCATAAACATATCACTTGCAATCTTGAGACGTTTATATTTCGCATTATGCGTTAGATTCAAGTTACCATAGATAAAAAACGTGGAACCGCAACAATAAACGATCGTGGATGGAGAGCGGTGTGTGTACAAAGGTGGATACTTTCACTGGGAGAGAAACGGGTTTCGCCGAAGTCCGAACACGCGTATTTGCAATTTTTTCCCTCCGTGAAGTCACTCTAATTCATAGAAGTTGCACGTGCTACTTTATGTACTAAATTTACTGTCTCATTGAATGCACCTCAAAGCTCTCTCGCGCTTACAAATTCCAGCGGACTGAAAGTACGCGTGTTCTGTCGTGCTCCTTATATACCCGGATAACGAGCCGAACTTACATCGGTCGGGGAAAAGTCGCTGTTAACCTTCGCACTTTTTATATAGGAATCGCGAAAAATACGTTAATCGGTACGGGTTATGCATGCCACAGAATATTTACTAATTGTAAGATCCATTTAAAAACTTTCTGCAGAATCGTTCATACTTTTTTAGTCCAAAAATTGTATTAAAAAACATATACATATATGTAACTGGGATACACATAAAGAAATGAAAATTTTCAATTTTTACGAGTTCTATTTGTAATCTGTTTGACCAAATTTTTTACTACCAGTCTACATTGCGAGAAAAATTTAAAAATGTTTTACCCCACAGATTTGTAGAAAAAAATTATATACTATTACTATACTCAATTTTTTTCAGTCAAAGATTAAATATATTAATGTAATTATTAAAAATTGCATACTAAATCGCATCATTGCTTTGTGTAGGCGTATGTACACATGAAAACCAAACATTTACTTATAAAGATATCAATAAATTTTTATAAAAATTATTTGTAAATAAGATATAATAAAATAAGAAATTCAAAGAACGGACATATACATTTGCAGATTTCGCATTAGCTTTGATTTAATTCGTTACAGTTTTCTGTAAAAACATGCCAATTATCACTTATTTATTCATTCCATTTTTATGTATTTATTGCGATGTAAAATAGTCCGGTACGGGACGTAAGTAGCTAAAAGTTATAAATTAGGAGCCTAGGTGACTTTCATTTTATAAGAGTTCACGAAGTTTCAAGGCTGACCGGGTTAACCACTGCGACTATCAGGCTACATGTGATACCTTTGCAGATAACAAAAAACTTATGCAGACCGCGCCGCTTAATGAACACAAGTGCTAGCTTTCAATGTTTCTATATATCGATTGATTATGCAATTAATGCGGATAAATGTTACGCATCTTCGCAAACGCACATCTATATGCGGCAAATAATTTTACCTGAATTGAACTCCCTGGTTAAAGACCGAGACGCATTACGAGGCATTCGAGCATGGTGTATATGATGCAGACGTCTCGTAACACTCTTCGTGGAACACCATTTATCCGTGTGAGACCCATTGCATCGCGTGTTCACCAGATTATCTGAATGGGAAAAAGGTTCTCCAAACGCGGGCTCCAATCTATTGGAAAGCGAATACAACCTTGACCTGTCTGTGTATACTGAATCTTCTAAAATACGTAAATGTGTTTCCCTTCCAGTGGTTATTTTCTAATAAGCGGCATTCTCTAATGATACACGTAATCTAACTAATCGCAGTACTGCACGACGTATGCGCGACGCATCCTCTCGATGCATTGAGGTCTCGTTTAAGTCGCGTGCTGGATATTGTACAATATTTCAATTGTCACAATTGACTCAATTCGAAGCGTTACGTACAACTGTCCAAACATTTAATCTGTTAACTTGCAAGGACACGTGTTCAATTTTATATATCAAAAATATTACCAGTTGACTAATCCTTGATAATATCAATGCAGAAAGATTTTATACCACTTATTTATTAGCTCATATATTTTTTTATTAGTAATATTTTGCCTTTGTACAATCATAGACATTTCGGCTGCGACACTTTTTTTTAAAGGTTTCGAAACGCAATAATATTTTGCAAATGTGAACTACGATTGGTGTACTGTCTCTAAACTAAAGACAGTACACCATCGTGATTCGCATTTGCAAAATATTAGTTACCTATGAAATTTATATTATATGTATTAAATATACATTTAAAAAAAACGTATGAAAAAACTGTTGCAACCGATATGTCCACAACTATACAATAATTTTAAGAAATATTATTTTTGCTTCCGTATGAGATTAAAAATTCCGAGAAAAATGTATTAGAATAATATATATTTTTTAATATATATTTGAAAGATGTACTACTTGAATGACCTATTTCTTTTTTACAAAAAAACTCATACATAATAAATATAATCTGTAGTAATTTGCAGTGTAAGATAACAATTATACATGTAACACATACCTGTGAAAAATGCATGAATGTACTTTTGCACAAGTAGATATAAAAGAAGTTAATTGTATAAGAGGCAAAGTAGCACATAAATAAGTAAATGTGCTTGTTATTTCACTTTGTATTGGAGAAAAAGCAAATTTTCTTTATTTTAAATTCATATTTGTATGTAAAATTGTTATTTCTCCTTAATTATTATACAAAAACATAATTTGTTCAGGCATAAAATATGTTTGCATACATTAACAGCAAACAAAACAAACCAGTTTGGTATTGTGGCATTTAAAAACTAACTAGGACATTAATAGTATTACAATATTTATAAATTTTCATTAAACACAGCGTTTTCTTATTATTCAAAACTTTGGCATAAATTTTATTAAAGACATTTTATGTCTTGATTGTATCATATTATCCATAACATTTATATCTATATCGGGTCTGTAATATAATATTGACGCTCACGTGTCTCTTCAAATAAAATATTTTATTGAGACACTTGTGTCATATTGGCACGTACTTTTTATCTCTTAGCACAAATTAAAATAAATTAAGATAAATTCTTTTAACACTGTTTGAGCCTTAAATAATTTTTCTAAAACAAAGCTCACTGCTAAAGTCGATACGCAGCGTGCAGTGACTATCAAAAGATTTGCAGAAACCAAACATAACCTGTTATTTTGCAATGAGTGGACAGAATAAAATAAATTGATTGCTATACTATAGGAAAAACTTGTCGTTTTCATTAGCACATAGTGCAAAAGTAATATACATATGTGCAATTGTAAAAGTAAATATTACAAAAAAAAACTGACAACTTTTAATTGTCTGATTGAATGGTTAATGTGTTTTCAAAATGATGACCACTCCGAATGTGTACGATAATCGAGAGGTGCTTTTAAAAACTATTAAATACAGTTTCTAATTCTGATGCAGAATTGTATAACTTATTTTATTTAACCTCTGGAAACTTACGGAAAGCTTTAGTCTGTCGCAAATTATAAATAGGTTACAATAGATAGAAATAGGTTACAATATTACCTGGTTCAGAACACGAAAGACGTCACACACAATAGCGTTTCACATGTTTAAGATGCAATAAAATTATGTACACAAAAATATCTTATAAAATTCCACCGAGAAACTATGACAAACATTAACATTTGCCAGTCAAGCCTCAGCCGGCGTTCATCACAGCGGCGTCCACGACCCACGTCCGCAAACGTCCACAATTTGTCAACGATAAAGTCGTGTTGCCAACTACGAAAAATGAAAGCAGCCAGCAAGTGCGTTTGGGACTATATCGCTCGTGACGGTTAAATCGAAAATGATTGGCTCCTACTTTTGGATCCAACCAATCGTATTCATTTGACGTTTAGCCGCAGAGACAACCTAACAGGGAAAAATCGCATCCAAACACCGATCGTACGTCGCGCTACGGGGCGCCACTCGACGAAAAACTTTACGAAACCGAAAGATTACTCCCCTCTTCCGGCAGCCAATCAGCGCAGTTGGTAAATAGCGAGGCAACTATCAGAAGAATTTTTGAAATATTCTTGCAGCAGCACTTCTGTTTATGGCGTCCGTATCGTCTGTATCTCTACCAGGGCAGGGGCAACATCATTCTCTCTGGTTCTACTGGGCGCTCTGTAATTCGACGTTGAATCGCCTCGCCGAATATTGTAAGCTAGCAAGGTGAGAGAAATTACTCCCGCGTTAATTAATCACCTTGGTCTACAACCTCGTGCCCTCGGCGGCCTCGGCATACCGGTTCGCATTGTGTAACGTAAATTCTGTCGTTTCAAAAACGTGCAAATAACCGGACAGCCTATGCGCGTTGTTTGTGCGCATAACTACCTCGCTGTTTATGTTTGGGGGAAAGCGACGTTAGGAGCCGATTATACGGGAATCTATGTAAAAAGTAGGTCAATTATGCGGGATCTATGTGGCAGGAAACTTTCAGAGATCTGCTCGTGTTCGATCCTCGGAAAAGATCGGGGTGACTGGTCTAATGATACACGGATCTCTAGCGCCGTGCTCTTCTCTCCTATGCTATTATACTAACAGTATCTTCAATCTTGTGATCCTTTTGAATGAATTGTTCTTCTAATTCTTGTGGAATACCTATATGTAGCAAAATGCTAATAAATTCCACATACGGAATGGAATATTTTTGTTCTGTAATGCTATATAAAATTCTGGGTTATATTTTCTGAAAATATTCTGGAAATATTTATTTTGAGATAACTAAATAAGAAATGTGAATAATTGTTGAACATACTGCAATTAAAAAAAGCGCAAATGACTAACAATTTTTGCTACATTATTATTGCAAGTTATTTATAACCCAAAATTATTTTTTAAACATATAATCTTTCAGAGGGTGTATAGGCTTTTTTTAAAATTTGTAAATTTAAGTTTAGCCAAATTGTGTGTGTATAGCATAAATATATAGTATCTTATGAATATATTTGTGATAGGTATAATGGATTACGCTGTTGAAAATTTAAAAAAGACTTACGACATAGAGCGGAAAGCAAAGCTCAACAAGCTACTTAATATGCAATGGCTGAAAAATACATCTTATTCAGCAAATCCGTATGTTTAACCCTTATTTCTTTGTCTTAGTATATACTTTTGTGTTGTGTATTAACATAATTTTATGTCTTTATCAAAATTTTTTCGTCAATTTATCAGTTATCTGGTTTTCATAAATCTTCTATTAGTATCTATTGCAATTGCAATATTGCTAATAAACAATCTTGTACAATACAAGAGACAAAGTAACTTTTATGTCTTATGTAATAATATACGATTATGTATATAATTATTTGAAGGTTTACAAGACTTGTGTGTAAGTCATATAAATTAAATATATTATAGCATATTTATACATATCTATATATTATGTGCAGGATATTTTAGAATGTTATTTTCAGCTTATAGCTGAAAGTATTTAAATATTAGGGTACTTAATTATGAAGTAAAATTAAAAAATTGTAACAAAAAAATTAAGCTTAAAAAATGTATAAAAAGATCTCATCTCTCTCGAGAGAGAAACCTCCATATTTATCACAATAAACATTTAACATACAATCTACAGCTCTGAAATAATCTATGCACATTTTTGTGTAATTTATATTAATATATATATTTTTTATATTAATTTTTACGAGCTGATATATGAGAGGATGGACTAAAGGTACATTTGGTAACATCATATTTATATTGTGCTTTAAAATTACTTTTATATTGACTTTTTATTACAGTGAAAAGGTAAAAACTGCTGTCTATAAACAAATACAGAAGCAAGATGAGAATAAGAAAATAGAAGATAAGGTTTTAGAACTAGCAGAAACCATTAAGATATATTCGGTTCAAGGACCTAATAAATGTTCTTCAATAAAGAATACATGTAAAGCAAATTTACTTGATACAATGCCTGAAAAAGATGAAAATACATCGAATGACAAAGATATAGATATGGCTTTATTTCCAAATGCTGATAAGTTAGCTAGTCAAAAGAATGAAGAAGATATGCTAAGTATCGTGGAAAGTATTGTAACAGCAAAGCTGGAGGCTGAGTTTTGTATAAACAAAGAGCATAAAGATCAATCAAGTACATCCAAGAATAATATTGAAGATATCGTACAGTAAGTATAAAGAGAAATTTTAGCTTGTAATCAAAATGTTATTTTAATATCTCAGTTTTATTATAATATTTTATATTTATATTAAATTAGGATCGCAATATGTACAAATCCTTCCGATTTACAAAAAACTGGTGAAAACACAGAGGAGCTGAAATTAATAAAACATTCTGATGGTAATAATAATAACTCCAAATCTATAACACCACGTATGTCAAAACTGAACGAAAAGCATAAGTCAACTTGCAAAATAACTGGTACTGAAAACAGTAAAGCTTCAACAGAAGCAAAGGATAAAGGTAAATTTATATGTGAAATGTATATAAATACATGTTTTATAATTTTTACGCGATATTATAATATTATATTATCTATTTCTAACATATATATATATATATATTTACTATTTATTCCTCTATTTTCAGATGTGCATATAAAAACAAATCTAACAAAAACAAGTATTAAAGCTGATAATAATACAAATTTAGTTAAAGACAATGAAAAGTCTTCCAGTCCTAGTAGCGATTCTAAGAAAACAATTTTCAATTCATCAAAATCACTGAGCACTATTGAAAAAACTGGAAAGGATCAATTTAATAATAAATATAACGCAAAGAATATTGCTGGCACAAGGAAACAAGATTTTGCAAAACGCAATGTTTCAAAGAATGGAACAGAAAAGGAAACGAAAAATGTTACTGCAAAGCCAAACTTAATGAAAACAGGTTTTGTGACAGCTGATACATGTCAAAGTAAAAATTCGCACAAGGACAAAGTTGCACAAAAGCAAACAGCAAAACAGTTTGTATTAAAATCAAAAAGTCAAGAGCTTCTTAAAAGAAATGTATCTCCGCTTAATATTTCCGATGATAAAAATAAAATAGAGAAAGCAATACATACACCTGAAAGGCTCGACTCGCCGTCAAATGAATCTGAAAGGAAAAATGAGAAGATTGTTAATGAAAAGTATTTTCAAAGCGACCAAAAAACAAATCGCGGTGATTTTAGAAAGAATACTGCATCTGTCACGCAATATAAAAATTCAACATTCTCAAAGTCAATGCAAAATGTCCCGAGAGCAGGACAAGCTCCGATGTATGGAAGAAATTCATCGTATGCTTATAATAATCCAAAATTTGATAGAAATCGTAATGGCAGTGCTGAACGTAGAGTTACGAAGAAAGAGCACACATCTACTAATACATTTGCAAAATCAAATACAGAAACAGAAGAACTTGACACAAACAACTTGGAGAGTTGCGCAACGCAGAAGAAAGAAATAATTCAACCGACAAATGTAAAATCGACAAGACATGAAGTAGATGCAGTTGACGATAGAAACGATACAAATCCTGTAAAAGTGGAGACACATTTAACACAAAGTAAGGAAAATATGAATTCAAATGTTGATTATACGGAACGAGGACCTACAATGTCGGAACAGTTTTGTGAAGAAACAAATGATATCGTTAAAGTCGATATTGGCCAGCAACATCGAAGAGAAACTAATAACGAAGAAATAAATTCGTTTAAATACTCGTCCAATTCAGCCTCTGATAAATGTGCTACAGATTCACAAATCAATGCGCCACATCAGTATTCGTTAAATACGCAACACACAAATGATATAAATCAATTGGAAAGCAGTCAAGCTATTTGGAATCAATCGTCTGACAACGCCATGCAGAAAGGCGCCACAGCCATGAGTCTACAACAGTCTATTCAAAATTTGCATTTTAACACGCAACAGACTTTTATTCAAGCAGGAAATTCAACGCGGCAAATGTCGCCATGGGAGTCAAATAGCAGCAAGTTTTACGATCAACATTTTTCAACTAACGACTTGATGCAGCTGTCGCAGATTCCAAATACTTTCAATGCACCGCCTTACGAATGTAATGCACAAATGCCAAATGATAATAATATCGCTGATATGTCTACGCTGGAAACCACGATGAATGGTAATAGAGAACATGCAAATGTACTGTATAGATACGGATCGAACGTACAGCAGAGACCTGTTGTGGCTTCGGATTTTCCTTCCAACCATTCCATGTCCGCGTGTCAGGCTAATCAAGCTAGATGGAATTCCTCGACACAAGACAGCTTTCACCATACGGTTGAACATCCGTACGTTGTAACGCAACCTACGATGATGCACGTTTACAATCCTGCAGCTTTTGGTCCCGACGACTTTAATAATGCACATACCATGGATTATGTATCACATCCGGTAATTTATGCGCCATCTCCATATATGCAAACATGGAATTCGCAATTACAGTATCCTATGTCCGTTTTGTATAATTCTCCGTGCTCGAATTACACCACGTTCCCTCATAATCAAGCGAGTAATTTCAACAACTCTATGCACGACCAGCAACATAAACATAATCCTTACGTGCAAGTGAATAATTACGTTAGAGATACGTATAATGATACGAATACTTGCGCAGCGCAAACAAGAAATGTTGCCGATAACGCTCCGGTAAAATCCAATTATTATTACAAGAAGTACCAGGACAATCGAACGGTTTACGATGTTCCGCAATATGCAGCACCAGTTTCATATTCGAGATCGCAACAAAGTATGAATTTCATGCCTGCAATAGGCATAAATCAATACAACGTATCGTATTGTCCGCCAAATCAGAGATATAAGCCAAACGTGACAAATTACATGAAAAATCCGAAAGGTCAGGTACAAGATTTCGTTTGTGATGACAATGCATCGGAAGATACTCCCCCAATAATATCTCCGAAAGAGTTTGTAACAAACAATGTAAGTCTTTCAAATCAAACTGATCAATTTGCGACGCGCGTATTCAAACCGGAGTTCAAGCCGAGATCAAACTTAGGGTATCGTTCAGGCCCGCCATCCTCTTTATCAAGATATAATAACGGCGGTTTTCACCGAAATTTTCAAGATTTTCCGAAAGAATATACATATCCTATTAGCATTGGCCGCGGTACATATAAAACTAAAAAAACATAAAAACATCAAATCTATACAAAGCAAGAGTTTTTTTTATTTAAACTATAATATATAAAATAAGGATATAGACATTCATGCAAAAAGTTAATTTAAAAATTTTCTATCTCATAAATCTCAGAAAATCAATAGCAAAATTTTTCTAATTATTCAATATGATTTCAACTGTATCTACTATACATTTACTATGATCTACTATAAGTCAATTTACCAGCTCCCTTTCTATTTTTGATATGTCTTGAAAGAATGTTAAGTTTTTATATAACAAGCAGTTATAAGATAGAAAATTCCTATTAAATATTATAGATGCCAAGAAAACTACGTATTATTAAGTTTATATTCATATCATATTGTGATATCGGGCAACCTAAAATGGTGCTCTCCTTGCATCTAAAGACTCGCTTTAAATCTTTATAGAGCTTAAAATGCTATATTCATAAATATATAAATTTTGTTTAAATCTGTAAGTTTTCACAGATGAGTTTAGTTACGAATCGCAGGATATGTAAAAATTATTAGACTTTGAAACATATCAATTGCGAGAAATATTGTTCAACAAATAATTTAGCACGTAATATTTTCTTCTATGTTTGATTTCTTATAATTTTAAGATAAAATGTTTCAGAAATATATATCCCCTACATGTACTTTATTTTTCTATCTTATTTTTGTGTTTAAACCGTATTGTTAATAAAGATGATATAGTTTATTTTTTCTGGACTGATTTTATGAAATAAATACATTTTGATATTTCTATGTTTGTTAACTTATATATATTGTCATAAGAAATGCCTTTAAGAAATTTCTAATATTTTAAGTTATTTTTAAAGCATGTATAAATTCTTTCCTTATACAATCAATTATAAATTTAAAGTTTATCAAGAAGAATCGGAAAAAAAATAAATATGCACACAGTATTATAAAAAAAAATTATTTAAATACGCTTTACCTCAGAGAGATAAGAACCAATTAAAAATAACATTTAAAACTTTATCTGTGATAGAAGAAAAGCAAATCGACTCAAAAGTTTTATTATAATATGCTAAATAAATATCGATCAATTTTTAATATTATTTGCTTCCTCTGAAAGTTGCATATATGAGAATTATAAAAAATTCCATATATGTATAATTATTACGTTATATTATTTATTATGCATGTCACAGCCATGTAGAGGCTCGTTCATCCGTTTTAGAGACAATTATATCATCCAGTGTTACACTTTTGGATTCTCCTAAAATTGCAATTAAATCGATTTCGTTTCTCGCTATCAAGATTTGCTTATCAGACAGGGATTGTATCCTTGTTAAAACATCAAGATTTGGTCGTAGCATTATTAATTGGCCATTGTTTTTCCTGAAGTCCTTTATCATCATATTGATACTCTAAAAATAATATTATATTAATATTTTGAAAGGAAGATATCTATATCGCGCGATCAATTTTTAATATTATTTGCGTTGCATTAATTAAATTAAAATGCATTTTTAGAATGAATTAATTGATGCAACGCAAATAATTGCATTAGTATATACGTATACATATACACAGATAATCAAACGGTTATTTTGAAACCTGTGCGGCAGTGAAGTCTATTTTGTCAATATGTTCACAATCCAATACGACATTCATACTAGGATTTTTCGTTAGATACATTCTCAAATGATCTACTGCAGGGAATAAAATTCCAGTGGTAGGACGGACTAAAATGTAATCAGTTGTCGAGAGCTGCAGAGAGAAAAATTGTTAATCCTTTAATCCTTATAATTATTAACATAAAGAATTTTTCTTAACAAGTATATCTCTAAATCCGAAGACATAATTTTGTTTCCTTACTTTTCTGTGTTCAATATTTATCGTCGGCCGCGCATTGAGATATATCAATATAGCCAGATCAAATATCGTACCTATCAAAATTCCTATCTCGACTCCGATGAATAAACAAGCGAGGAATGTGATAAACGTCGGTATTAAATCACGTCCTATAAAAAAAAGATATTTTATTTACTATAATGAACTTTTAATTTCTTATAAGTTATCACTGAGAATGATTTAATGTTAAACCGAACTGTTTGGGTTTTAAAATTATTATATATGTTAATTTTAAATACATATTGTTTTAAATAACACTAACTTTGTGCATGATTCATTGTCTTCTTTTCGTTTACTTATTTAAATTTATTCACTAATTTCGTTAACATGCACTTTTAATAAATTATTATGGTGAGCAAAATATTAGTTTGCCAGTAGAACTATTTTGAACAAAATATGGCATCAACTGCTACAGCGTACGCAGTTACACTCGTGTTTCTAATGAAGTCTACCGACATTTTTTATTAATCTAACGGGCATAATAATTTTTTCAAATTCTTGAAAATAATTTTCAGGACATCTTTTACATACGTATGTTTTCTAGATTAATTATTTTGAATATATACTTACTATTGCACTTCCAGATTGGAAGTATTATACCAATTTCTACCATAAATATCACCGCGCTAATTATGACAGAACTCAATGTCGCCTTCGGAATGTAGTAAAAATACGGTGTCAGTAAACTTAACGCAAGTATGACTAGAATACCTGAAATTATTTATTTTAAATTAATATTTTTTTTTTTCTAAGAGATTTGTAATTAATGAGTATGCAAATGTTATTTAAAATCAGTAAAATTCACCTGTATAGATGCCACCTAAAGGTGTTCTAACACCAGAAGCATTATTCACTGCGCTTCTCGAGAAAGATCCTGTAACGGGCATCGACTGAAAGAATGAACCGACCACGTTACACAGTCCGAGAGTCAGCATTTCCTGCGTGGCGTCTAAAGGCATGCCTTGTGCTTTAAACAATGAGAGAAATATTCAGAAAAATATTCTTATATAATAACTTGACAGAGTATACATGTGTCACTCAATTTAGCGCATCCAAAGACTACGAAGACGATGAATATATATAATTAATATGATTAAAATTTACTTTTTCAATAGATTTTTGTATCTACCAAATGAAAAAATAAAATCGCGTTTATGAAATGACCTAATAAATATAATATATATATTTAAAATATTATACAAAAGGCCTTTGCGATGGCGACGTTTCCGATAATAGAGATGAGTGGCACAACCAAGATGCCAAATTTGAGATTCTTCGTCATGTCGATGAAGCTCTCAGTTGTGTTGTTAATTGTTCTTGAAAACGGAGGTGGTTCGACAATCGGGAGACCGGCATCGATGTGACCCGTAAGGACATACGGTGCTCCGCCGTTCATTTCAAAAATGTAAGATGCAATTGCGCAAAGGACAACTACGAAAGCATTCCTAGCTGTACCGATCGTCCAGAGGAATTTTCTCAGCGTGGTACTAGCGACTTCTCTATCTTTCAAATACTAAAAAAAACATTAAATCGATATATAATTGATAACATTCTGTGATTTGTAGCCTACAATGTTTTTGCCTCAATTGATATACCTTCAGGACCAGTAAAAATAGGATGCAGCAGCATGATAAAATCAAATCTGGTATTTTCGTGTCAGTGATGTGATGTGCCAATTCCACCCAAATTTCAACGAACTTCTCGCCGTGAATATTCAGACCTAGCAAATTCTTTATTTGACTGCAAGCGATGATGACGCTCGCGGCTGATGTAAACCCGGACACCACCGGTATCGATATAAACTCGATTAAAAATCCTAAGCGTAGAACGCCGAGTAATATTGTGATACATCCGGACAAGAAGCAAAGCAAGGCCGCATACTCAGGAATTCCACTGAAAAAAATATCATCAAACTTGGAATGTAAGTGCACTTTTAATGTCGTACAGCCTTGACTCAAACGATATTTTCTCAAAAGACGACTTATGTGAAAAGTATTTTTAACAATTCAATTATGGTACAGTTCAAGTAATCTCGTTTGATTAGCACGCTCTTTCGCCACACGCGACCGGATGAAACTTCAAGCGAGAACATTGTTATGTCAATTATGCGCATAATAGCGTTCAATACAAGCAAGATTTACTGATTAAATATAACTTCCGGCCAATGAGAGAATCTAGAATTCTTATGCCTAATCCTTATAGCTACATAATGCTATAAAATTTACATTTTATATTAAAGGGAAATAAATAAGAAAATAAAGCAGTTGTCAACGACATTTAAAATTTGGAAAACTACACGTCTTATCTACAATGAAAAAGTTTCTTATATAAAAAAAAGAAGTAAAAATTGATATATAATAAGTGTAGAATTTGTCACGTTTATCACAAAGAATCCAAAAATTCGCGTGACCAGTAATTTACTCTGCTACTTTATTATTTTTACAAGAAGCTTTAACGTACCTCGCATATGTCCAAGTCAGTAATGATATGAGTGCTGTCGGACCGATATTGACTTCTCGACATGTGCCAAAAAAGATGTAGACAAAACTTCCCGCGAACGCGCTATAGAGCCCGTATTGTGGCTCCAAGCCCGCTAAACCTGCATAAGCTATCGCCTGCAATCACAAGTATCACGTTTTTTTTTTAGTATCGATTGAATAACGACTGAACAACGTCAGGCGATCGAACAGACATATATCACGTATTATGTACTTGAGGTATCAATGTCAATCCTACGGTGAAGCCTGCAACAAGATCACTCAATGCATCCTTTAATTTATACTGCGGCAACCATTTCAAAATAGGAATTCTATCTTTAATCATTCCTTTGAAATTAGCTACGGCCATTGTTATCCACCAACTATACCGAGTGTTCTTTTAAATGCTCTAATAAAAATTGCAGCAAGTGCAGGAAATCTGGAAAGGCGATAGGCGATATAAGTCACATGCCTTATTATTGGAGCAAATAAATTTTTATACTAAGATTTATCTTAAAAATGATTTTTTGTTTAGATTTTTCTAAAAGATCTACATTTCTATTCCTTTTTTTTTAAACTTTTGAAAATTTTATTATAAAGGAATAATTAAATTAAGTTTATGCATATTTAAAACTTCTTATTAGTTATATGCATCTTAGTTTTTTATTTATCTGAAATTGTTTAATTAGATGATCAGTTAGTTATAAATGATAATTCAATTTTACCGTATAAATTAAAATATTAAGTTTTACAATATTTTACTTCGTTCTGGTAGAAAATATTCGATTTGTAAACTTGTATATGCAAGCTTTAACTGGCACATCATCTGGTAACAATCAAGACCCACGTAATCGTGTTTGTCTTCTGCTAATTGATCACAGGAAGTCATTGTGTTTGGTTATATCATATCGTTTAATTTCTCATGTATTAATCACACTATAGACTTATAATCTAAATACAAAAATTCAACTTTAGGATTAATATTTTTTATATTTTACTCCAATTCTTCACGTATTAACGCAAGTACTTACGGAGAATAAAATAGTCAGAACGCGATAGTTTATCACAGTTACGCAAAAGTTTATGACACATTTTTTTATAGCACACAATTATTACACACAATTACCACGAAAAATCGGGTATAGTTTCCCTTATCAGTAGCCTGCACTTTATTGCAAGAGGATACGAGCAGGATATCCACTGTTCTTGAAGAGTTAAATCAGCGATATTCTTTTTTCGAAGAATCGATTGCTCGCAAATGCAGCGTAGTTTTTTTATGATATTTTTTCGTGCTACACCATCTCGTCAATTCATATATTACATAGATTAACATCGGTTTGTCGCACCAGTTCTTATACAACCGTCTTATACGATCATTTTTCACACACTTGCTCAACTGTACGCACCTCTTTGCCTCTTTGCCTGGTCGCGGTTCACGATATTAACGCATGCGTTTACTCCTTCCTTCGTGTGACATCATCGCCGGAGATCGGCGGGCTCAGATCGCCAATTTGTTCAACAAATGGGAGGGTCTTTTTCATATGGTATCTAACGAGGTTTCCTCTAACGAGATTCTCCTGATAAATCTTCAAGGCGACTTTATCATCCTTTAATCCCGTGTCTTTAATATACACTACACTCGTTGCTTTCAAATACACATCAGATAGAACGTGTATCCGTAACACGTGTTTATATGTCTCGTGAAATAACAGCTCTTGCAACTTTGATTTTGACGTTCTTTCCGAGAAACTAATTTTTAATTTCAAAATCTAACACTTACATCAATGACTGATGTCTAACGACTTATAAATTTTTACTTAAAATATATAATTTTATTATAAAGTATTTAAATACGAGAGAGAGAATTATTCTTATATATATTTTATATGAATTGCAACGTAAATAATTATATTGATAATACAGTATAACAAGTTCAATAAATTATACTGAGGAATTATTAGATAGATGCAGAGCTGCAAATGTTTAGCGTATCCACTATTCATTTATGCAATATCAGTTTTTATATTCTCAGAAAAACCTTGAAGTAATTAACAATATACGGAATGTCACGTGGTTCTGTGTGAGACAATATCAGTGTGGAAGCGATGGATAATTGGTGAGTTTCTGATTCGATCTCTCGTCCTACATACGGATTTTTAATTTGTAAAACGGTGTAAAACGGTTCTCTGGAGTCCCCTTCAATTAAGTTGGGCAATGAATGTGTATGTGGCTGACAACCATAGCACGTGAAACAGTTAATGTTGCAAATAACGATTTATCTTTAGAATATGTCAAGGCTCATCTATTCAGAAATGTGGAGCCAAATTGATTGATTGAATTGACAATATACATGGCATATACATGGATAAAGGAAAAAATATTTCCGCGAATTTTTTATTACTACTTGAATATTGATGTGACATAACTAGATAGTTGAGGAAATTTTCTTTTTATGATGTAAAAAGAAGTACATGCGAATAGTATTAAATAATCATACATGTGTGTGAATAATCATATATGGAATGGAGTATTCCTATACGAAAGTATTTCTTGCTTAGTACGTATTATCGATTTTAGTTCAAACTTATCGTTTAAATTCGTGACGTGTAAATGATGTACTGGAAATGTAATGCACGTAATTCATGAGGACGATGTATGCGTACTTGCACAGCATATTAAAACACATTCTAACAAATGCAATACAAATACAATACACTATTTAAATAATACTTTTTATTCGACAGTTTTTATACATAGGATTTGCAGAAAGCGTACATTTGACAAATTCATATATGTATACATTTTTATATTTTCAATATTTTCCTATTGCGGATATCTTTTAAAATAATATGAGATTGAAAAAAATTTTTGTTTATTTTAGATTTTTATTAACATTAAGAATTAAATAAAAAGTATTAATAATAAACGTTAAATTAAAAATGTTGTTTGATAGTATACTATATAAATAGATTAAAAATGAACACAAAGATTTTGACATAATATATATGTTTAAATAATAATATTCAATATATACTGGTCAACAAAATAAACGCATAGGTAAATTTATATCAAAATTTCGCATAACTTTAGACAATCATAACTATAATAAATTTTGAGAATGGAAAAAAAAACTTTTCAATACGACCATTTTTCGCGGAGTTATGATTGTCTAAAGTTATGCGAAATTTTGATATAAATTTACCTATGCGTTTATTTTGTTGACCAGTGTAATATGTATTTTCATACTATTTCTGATAATAGAAATATACGCTTTGTAATTCGCTTTGATTTCCACACTGTAATTTAATGTCGAGTTTAATAGATATATACCGGAATTGCCCTTGAAAATGTCCTTGTCTGTTTCCACCAATTATAGCAATTCTACTTGTTACCTGCAATGTTTAGTGAATTCATAGTCCATTGCGCACGAATATATAACTTTTCTACTACCATAATAAACTTAGTTTGGTTTTAATAAATGTCCTTGCCATTCCTGCATTATGTCATATAGACAAAAGAGTAAAAAAGAGAAAAATGTATAGATCACTTATTAATAAATATGTCACATATTGAATGTACATTTGTATTACAAATTATAATATGTTCTTACAATTCATGTAAAATGGAACACGATTATGGTAGAACATTAAAAATTTATGAAACATAAAAAGAGAAACGTAATATCGCTGATATATTTATATACTGTTTATAAGATTCTAAAAATTATGAAAATGATTTGATTTAATTCATGCTAAAATTTAGCGAAATTGTAAGTTTTTACTTCTGAAATAAAATTTTAAATTTTTTATATGTATATATAAAATATGAAGTAAAAAAAAATTTGAAAAAAGATTTTTGTGGTATACATTAGAAATTAAATGCACAAGATATTATTAAAGACATATCTGGGCAAATTTTCTATTTTAACTATTTAATAAAACCTCTCTGAGGTAACTGAAGATTATTGATATTATCAACTATTGATACAAATTTGTAATATAAACTTATAATTATGACATAATTATATGAACAATATATATTTATCTGACTTATACATTTTTTCCACACAACATATTGTAATTATAAAATATAAAAATCTTTAACAAAAAAAGAAGTAACATCAGCTGATAAATGTATAAGTAACGTAGATTACCATTTGTCCAACTGTGGACAAAATTTTAAATTGATACTATTATTCATTATTTATTTGCATTTATAAAATTGAAATTATTAAAATCATTTTTCTTTTACAAGAAAATTGTTTTAAAATTTAAGTAGATAGGGAGCTAATGAGTCGTGCTAGTTATTTTTGCAAGTTATATTAATGTTATATATTTATTTGTTCGATTTGACATTAACACAATATTTAACCACAATATTTTCTTACATTAAACATACGTTTCGACCTCTTAACATCGGTCATCATCAGTGTTTAAAATAATATGTCGTTACACAAATTATAAATATATGTTTAATGTATGTTTAATGTAAGACAATATTGTGATTAAATTGTTAATGTCAAATCTAACAGACAAATACATGAAATTAATATAATATAACTTGCAAAAATAACCAGCACGGCTCATTAGCTCCCTATCTAATTGTAAGTGAATTTTGAATTATATTCTTAAGAGCCTTAATTCTAAATTTAAAAAGAAAAATATTTCTTGCTGATTTCAATTAACTTTTGAGATATGAAAGACAATAAAAAATATATATTTTTTCTATATACTTTCTAATAAACCTTCTTGTTTTAAAGTGCTTGATTTCTTTACGGAATATTTCTGAAATCGTATATGAAAAAATATTTCAGATAAAAATTTTACATTTGATATATGTACTTCATATAATATATATTTAAATTTTTTGGGAATATTACATCTTTCAATAATATGCTCCCATTCTCCATCATTATTTTTGCAAAATTAAAAAAAAATTTATTTGAACAAAAGTAAAAAAGTATTATACAAATCCAATCATATATCAACATGTTAAATAGAAAAAATACAGAGATAAACGTATAATTTGATCATCGTTAATAGCGAGGCAATCATATCCGCTGATTGTTAACAGCGGAAGCGTTTTGTTTCATGTAATTGAACGTCATGCTCCGCAGTTGAGAAATTACGTAAAATTGAACAGAACGACGCTATCAGGCATGAAAAAAGGGAGGAAGCAAAGAAAAAAATGAAAGAGTTTAAAGATACTCTTATAATAAATCACTTTTTCTTGACACTGCTGCTTTTTCTCACGATTGGCTCTCATCCGGTTAGTATTTATCACCGAGTCTGGCATCTGATGTAACTTTTTTACTTGATTGTACGACGAATCAATTAAAAGTGTAGATATCAGTATCAATAAACTAACAATAATATGTTGTAGTTATAATTATATTTAGTAATAATTATATTTTTATTTTAGATTAATTTAAATCGCTATACAAGTTTGAAACTAGACTACATGATAGGCTGTCGTGTTTTATATCGACTTTAATATTATATTGTTTCTTAACACTTTTAGTACAGAACTACTAAGGAAATCGAATTATGTAAAAAGATATGCCAATTGTTTTAAAAAGCTATTAATGATGTTGTTAATTTATAAAAAACGCATCTTGTAAAAGATTTGTTGCACGTATTTTCACACCATCTATTTTCCTATTTTAAAATATATTTTTACTTGAAATATTTTTAAAATTCATTTTTTATCTGTTAAGAGATTTCGAGGCATTTTCCTTATCTTATATACCGAATTAATACCTGTTCTTTTATTGGTTACAGGTAGTCAGGGGAAGAGGAAAAGAACTGCGCTTACCGGTCGCGCGTCATTGCAGCGGAATTTCGGCTGTAAGTATTCGTAACGGAACAACTGGCTCCTTAACAGCGGTTTGAAGCGCCATGCACTGTACGAAAAAAAAGGGTAGTATAAACGTCGTAATGTTTTATCAAACCCTGATCATCAGACCCGGATCTCTGCAGAACCTTCCCGCGACTTCCTACTTCTTTTCGTAAACAAGAAACTTGCTGGATTCGTGCTTGAGAGTTCTTCACCCTCTCCACATGTTCATCCATCATCCCGTACTTTCGTGACTCACCGATGAGACCATCTCTTCGCTCGATCGCCAGCTTCCTGAATCTCTGGGAAGTCTTAATTCGATACCTACACGCGTCACACCTGCTGTCTTCACGAACGCTTCATAATTCGTGTTACGTAAACGTTTAATATTAAATTTTGAGATTATTAAATATTGATTATTAAATATTTCAATGTAAATATAAGACGTGCAATGAACAAGAAAAATATTTATATATAATTATTTTTAACTTACGTATTTATATAAAAAGAAATAATATATCGCAATATTTCATTATTTTCAGCATAAAAACGATGATTATAGATATCAATAGTTAGTATTTAATTTAAATTCAATTATAAATTATCGTCTAGTTTAACTTTCGAATTTTACGTGCAATAATATAAAGTATCATAAATTTGAAAATTTTAATATAATAATATTTTTATATTGGCATTTAACTTGAT